TGGGGGGTGGGAAACACCTGCCAGTGACTGAGGGCCCAAGGTGGCCAGCCACCCACTTTGTCTCATTAATTCCAACAACTCCCTGTGTTTACATTTGAGAAGGTAGAGCACAGAGGTGTCAGGTAACTTGCCCAAAGATGCTACAGCTGGCTGCTGGGTTCCATCCAGGTCTCTAGAACCCGACATGCATGTGCCTGTATCCATTCCTCCTCTTGGCAGACCCGGTGCTCCCTTTTGGGGACTTGATTCCTGCCGCGCAGTTGGTACCATGGATCATAGATGCACCTCAATCATTTTAAATCAAGTTGAATATGATTTGGGTATGGCTTGGCCAAGAGAAAATCTGATGGGCTAGTTTGGGTCTAGTGTACCAAGGTGGTGAGACCCATATGCTACCCATCTCCAGGTCCCTGAAGTGCCCAGCATAAGACCTAGAAGGTATCACAGGTGGACAGTGTTTTGATGTGAATGCTTGGTCTCTCCCACTAGACTGGAAGTTCTGTTAGGTCAGAGCGCACCAGGTCGACGGAGAATTCCCTCATGCGAAGCTGCACAAACCGCCGGTTTGTAACAGTGCCTCTTGCCTCCTCCAGGTCTTGCGCTTCAGTCGTGGGCGGAGCCTGAGGAAAAAGAGAGAGAGGCTCAAGGAAGAGAGGAGAGCTCAGTCTGTGCCAAGAGATGAGGTGGCACAAAGCAAGGTGGGGGGTAGCCCTCCCGCCCCTCCCCAGCTCCGCCCGCTCTCAGAGGCTGGGAACCTATCTCCCTGCTTCCTCAGGTTCATCTGGTGGCTGCCATGCCCTCCTCTGTCTCTTCTTTTTCACTGGGTTTCTTCACAGTACTGTCAGTCTTTTCCATTTGGCTTCATGCCCTGCCCTCCTCCAGGATTGCAGATCGTGTGCCTGTGTGTGTGCTGCCCATCTTCCCCAGTACCTGTGTGGGTAGAGTTACTAGCCCCGTGTATCTATGGCATTGTCACTGCCGTGTGGACAGCACTGCCTCTCTGACACCATGCACTTAATTGTGTAGAGCAGTGGTCTTCAAAGTGTGGTGTTCACCGTGTCCTCGGGGACCTTGTTAGAAATGCAGATTTGGGGCCTCACCTCAGACCCACTGGATCAGAAACTCTGGGATGGGGCCAGGCAATCAGTGCTTGAAGAAGCCCTGCAGGTGATTCTGATGAGGACTAAAGTTTGGGAACCACTGGCATGAGTTGCGTCCTCTTTTTTTGCTTTGGGAATGGACTGAGACTGTGCTAGTCCATATGACTCCCTTGTGCAAATTAGAAAAAAGATGCCCTCTGGACAGCCCAGCCCAGCACAGGGCACATGTGAATAGAGCCTGAGCTGGATTTCAGCTCCCTGAGTCGTACTCATCCCCTCAGCTGGGTGCCCTTGTACAGTGAGCAGCTTGCACAGCCGTACCCAGCAGCCCTGGAATGAACCATGCCTCTCCCAGGAGGAAGGAGACTAAGATATAGAGATAATGTTGGGCACATAAAGTTTTATACCAAGTACTTATTCTTCTGTTTCAAAACCCTCTCATCAATTTCTAGGGCTAAAGCATTGTAAGTTGGATTAAGTCCCTGTGTGTGTAACTTGTACATATTAATTTATGAAAATTCTTACAAGGACCAGAAACATGTTTTTTTCATTTCAGAGGGTTCTCTCCACTATGAATTGTGAGGGCCCAAGTTCAAAGAATGAGTGTGGTAGTTTTTTGTTAAAATATAAAAGACCAGAAATCTCTAATGCTAAGGTGTTTTGTGTGTGGTAGGTTCCTGAAGTTCACATCGAATTAGACTCAAGGTTATATTTAGTTTGGTACCTAATAAATGCCAAACGCTCCACTGACTGGGAAAAGCGTACATGTTAAAACCACCAAGCATTGCCCCCAGTGTCTGAAATTTGTCATTGGCAGATTCCCACGGGTCCTGTAGTGGATGGAGTCTTACAAACAGATTTTTATGCCATTATTGAAAAAGGCCAAGGGGGCAAGTAGAACAGGTTTCTGGGCTTCTTTTTTTTCCTCTGTAGGGAAGTGTCTCGGCAGGAGACACCCCTAGCAGTGAACAGGCTGCACCCAGGAAAGAAGAGGCTAGAGAAGATTTCCTGTCAGCCTCCCCAGAGCCCCAAGCGAAGGACAACAGGCGGAGAAAGTCAAGGCCCAAGGTCAGGAGGCACGTGAAAGCAGCCGAGAGAGGGCTGGGAGGCTGGTTGGCAGAGGGCCCTGGGATAGCGTCATGCCCAACAGCTAAAAAGCCGCTTCCCGTGGCTGGCTGGTTTGGAGCCAGAGCACAGAATGAAATCTGGTTAACTTCGGCACAAGGTTAGCGTGCTGATATATTTCTTTGGACATGTGGTGCTTGGAGTTGAAGACCATGAGACAAAGCAAGGCAGGGTTCTTTGCCCCAAAGTGGGTGAGATGGGAACCATTGGCTAGGTGTCCGTCTTGCAGATGTCACAGAGCTCAGGGGTGTTTTTCTTCCTCTCTCACAGGTGTCAGCATTTTCTGACCCCACCCCACCCGCAGACCAACAGCCTGGACACCAGAAGAACTTGCACGCTCATAACCACCCTAAAAAGAGGCCCAGGCATCGATGTTCATCCCCGCCCCCTCCCCATGAATTCAGAGCATACCAGCTCTACACGCTGTACCGGGGCAAGGATGGGAAAGTGATGCAGGTACCTACTGAGCCCGGTCAGGACACAGGACCATAGGCCTCAAGCAAGGTTGTCTGTTTAACACTGTTTCTGGGGCCTATTCTCCACTTTAGGCATAGGCTTAAGGAAGTGTGAGCTTTGACGAGAAGCCAGATGGCCCACCCCACCTAAACAGTGCACTTACACTCCTGGAACTTAGGCCCAGGCAAGCAGGGGTCACCATCCTTAGGGAACTAGATAATCTTGAGGCCCCAGAGTGGATAGATAAAAGCAACCAGAGGACTGAGAATATATCTTACCCTCTGAATGTTCCTAGGGCCTACTGGACCCAACGCCTGGCCCATGGGACATGGTACAGTGATGACAGCGCAGAGTCTGTCCCCATCATCTCTACTCCTGCTGTGCTGACTGGCACATGATGGGTACTCAGAACCGATTTGTTGAAGGAACAAATGAGTTGGGTTGATTCCCGTTTTGTTTCCCTCTCAGGCACCAATAAATGGTTGTCGATGTGAACCCCTGATCAACAAGCTGGAGAATCAGTTGGAGGCAACTGTGGAGGAGATCAAAGCGGAGCTGGGATCAGTTCAGGATAAAGTGAATGTAAAGCTGGGGCATATGGAGAATAAAACCCAGCACCAGGTAAGCGAGTCACCTAGCCTCCTTGGGTTGAGGTTCGAGGTGTTCTGATAGACAGTGTAATTGGAAGGACAGCTCAGTACGCCTTTCCATTCTGCAAACTCTGCCCTGAGCATGTCGGTGGGCTGACAGGGAAGAGGCATGCTTATGGGACTCCTTTGAAGCCCATTTATTTAAATTTTTAAAGAACATGTTTCAATTGCTTCTGATTAGAAAAGTCATATATGCTCATTACAGAGCAATTTTCAAAATACGAAAATCAGAAATCACCTGTAAGCCCATCATGATGAAAAAATGCACTATTAATATTTGGGTTTATTTTCTTCCAGTCTTTTTATGTCTGTGCATTCTATACCCCGTTCCCATTGCACACAAAATTAGAATGATCATGTCTATAGCTTTCCTCTTCCCAACTTTTTATTTTGAAGATTGTTAAGTATACAGAAAAGTGTATAGTGTAATAATAGTAGAATGAATGCTTGTACACCCCTCACCTAGATTCAGCCAGTTGTCAGTGTGTTGCCATATTTGCCTTGTGTGTCTCTCACATACACACTTTTTTCTCTTTGCTGAACTGTTTGAGATTTAGCTGCACTGTCCTGACACCTCACCGCTTAATACTTCAGAGTGCGCTAAGAATGAAGACTTTCACCTTCATAACACAGCAGCATTATCACATCTGAGAAAACTAACAGTAATTGCACAGTATCCAGTTCATATGCAGATTTTTCTCAGCTGGCTCAAAATATTTTTTTTTGTGATTGGTGTTTGTTTTTAATCCCAGCCCAGGATCCAGTGAATCTTTTGTGTATTTGTGTTATGTCTTTATGACCTCTCTTAATCTAGAACAGTCCCCAATTCCTTCTTTCAGCTTTTTTTTTTTCCTCCCTTAATATTAACTTTTTAAAGAGTCCAGACCGAGTGTTTTATAGGATGTTCTATGTCCTGGATTTTTCTGATAGTTCTTTGTGGTGTAATTTAACTTGTTCCTCTAGCCCTGTATTTCTGTACCTGAAAGTTAGGTCTAGAGAAGTGGTTCTCAGTGTCATTTCCAGACCAGCAGCGTCAGCCCCATCTGGGCACTTGGGGGTGGGGGTGGGGATTGCAAATTCTTGGGCCTCTTTCCAGATCTACTGAATTTAACTGTGAATGAAACTAGGGGTGGGGATCTAGCCACCTGTGTTTTAACAGGACCTTCAGGTAATGCTGGTGCACCTAAAGTTGGAGAACCATTGGTTTAGATGCTTAGCTGGGTGCAGGCTAAATATTTTTGGCAAGAATACTTTATAGTTAATGGTATGAACTTAAAATTACATCACATCAGCAGGCACATAATGTTAGAAGTCCCATTGTTAACTTTATCACTTGGCTAAGCTGGTAACCACTAGCTTACCATTGTCAAGGTACTTATTCCCTTTGTAAATAAGAAAGGTATGATGGATGTCAGTTTTAAATACAAAAAAATACTTAAAAAAAACTTGCAAAATAACATGTTATTGGGAAAAACATTCCACATTCCAGAAGTATGTGTCATAGTGACGCTGCTCAGAGATCCCTTCCATTCCTGGTTTGGTGTGTTCTCCCCAGAGGTTTTCTCTTTTATAGATAGTAAACTACATAATTATCACTTTTAAACAAAATGGAACCTTGCTGTGTTTTTGTTTTCTGTTTTGTTTTTTTTGTAGCTTATTTTAAAATTTAGTGGTATGTCTTAGACATGTTAAGCTATGGTGTGCTTTTTATGGTGCTGTGCTCTTGCCATGTATGGAGGTATACAGTTACGCTTCCTGCTTTTTGTACTTTATATCATGAACGTTTTCCCATGTCCTTGGCTTCATATTCCAGTATATTAATACAACATATTAATTAACCATTCCTTTTTGTTAGACTTTAAAGTTGTTTATAATTTCTCACTTACATGATGCTGTGATGGGCATTTATGTGCAGAGACTTCTCATTGCTTCTCAGGTTATTTGCTCAGAATTAGGATAATTGGGTCCAAAGTTAAGAGTATGTTTAAGGCTCTTGATAATTATTGACAAACTACAAATAGAAAGGAGGTACCAATTTCTGTCTACCAGCAGTGTCTGGTTTCTGTCTTAAACCTTTGCCAACACTTCATATTATCGTTTCTTAAAAGTTTTTGCCAAATTGATTAAGGGCACTTAATTGTTTATTTCCTTGTTCATTGGTGAGGTTGAACATTTATCAAGGTTTATTTGCTATTTGCATTTAGTGGGAAGCCCATTTAAGAAATCTTTTTCTTGGAGCCATAATATATTGGTTAAGACAACTTTGGGACTAAACACCCACTTCAGATAGCCTAAGAGGAGTGGATTAGATGAATGCTGAGATGTCTCAAGGGCCTCCCTTTGGTTCAGACTGGGGTGTAGAATTGTAGTCCTAATTCCAAGTCGTAGGAAAGGACTCGGGCCCGGCAGGAGTCAGGCGCTTCTGCCTGACTCCATCCACCGTGTCCCAGGAACAAAGCTGTGTATCAACATGGCTGCTCTTGGCAGGCCCTCTGTGTAGGGGGTAATGAGATGGGAGAGCAGGCCAACCCTAGAAAACAGGAGAGCAGCTCACAGGAAAGCACGAGGGCTGAAGAGATGAAACAGAAGGTGCTCACATCTCCAGAACTGACGCTTTTTAAAAATTTTTCAAAATCCGAGTGTGGAATGTCTTGTATGTCTCTGACCGGAGAGGAGCTCACCCATGAGCCCTCGTGGGTTGACTCCCACTGACAACAGTTCCTTTCTCTTCTTTGGATCTTGTCAAAGCCGTGAAAGTTCAGCCCTGCTGGGTGGGTGTTACGGCCCTCCAGGAAATGTCACAATGAAGGGGGGACTCTGGAGGACATGAGATGGAAAGGTGACAATCATTTGTTCCCTGAAGCAGTCCCTTTGAACTCCTTTCTCAGCCTGCATACTTGTTCTGGCTGCTTTCACTGAAGCCCAAGAGGGTTTGTTCATTGGGAAAGCAGGGAATAGCTCCATACCTCTAGAAATAGTTTTTTCTTTCAATCATAGTTTTGGAAATGCTGTTCTGAGACCTATAAAAATTCTTTTACCTACAAGGTCTGCATTGGCTCAAGTTTTATATTTACTGTATATTCAGTAAAGTTTTATATTTACTGTATAAGCCCCTTAGGGATTATAACCTATGAGAAAAAGAAAGGCCTATGTAGAAGCGTGCTTCTGAAAATGAGAGTGCATGAACACTATATGAAAATGGAATAAAAGGAGGAGTGGAGGTTTGCTTGCATTCTCTCTGGTCCCTGTCTGATACCCCAGATGCCCTCCTCAGGAGTCGAGAGACCAGGGCACCTCCTTAGAGCATCTCAGTCATGCGCTCTTTGCCCACTGAATCCTAGATGCGTGTTCTGGACAAGCTGATGGTTGAGCGACTCTCAGCAGAGAGAACGGAGTGCCTGAACCGGCTGCAACAGCACTCAGATGCAGAGAAGCATGAGGGAGAGAAACGACAGGTGAGAACCAGCACCTGTCAGTCCTTAACTGGTGACTTACCTCACCAGTCCACGGAGTTAAGACTTGGATGTAGCCTTGAAAACTCAGAGGCTGCGGTCCCCTACAAGTGTTTATATTACACGGCATGTCATTTTTATAACTTTGAGATGAAGTTAATAGGAAAGAATCTGTAGTTCAGTTCATGTTTGCTGCTGAATATGTCGGCCATAGGTGGAGACTGAACAGCTCATAGAACTTGCTGGGGAAATGTGATGTCTGCCCTGAAGTAATTCTGTGTATCATACATTTGTTGGGCCATCTCTTTTGAACCAGATTTCGTTCCTGCCCTTAGGGAATACATGGTCTACCCAAGACAACAGACATAAACTGAGCACTTGTTAGTGTGTGAGTTCATGCTGTAAGCAGCCAGGAATGCCTGGTGGGGAAGACGAGGGAAGCTTTGGGTGTTGGAGTTGAAGGTGGCTCTAAATCACGTAATGAAGATTATAGACAGTATTGGCCTGGGCGCTAGGTGAATCCGGGTCTATGGAGGGCCAGCAGAGAAGGAGGTGTGGCTTGTGTGTGTGTGTGGGGGGGGGGGGGGGGGGGGGGGGGGATTACCCACAACTTCTGGGCTTGCCAAGGTGGTATCCTCAGCCATCATAATTCAAAAGGCCCTTCTTGAGGCTTTAATTCATAAACCATGTATCAAATTCATATAATTATTTTGTGCATTTTTTAGATGTCCTTGGTGGATGAGTTAAAAACCTGGTGCATGGTAAAGATTCAGAATCTGGAACTGAAACTTTCTGGAGAGTCCAGGGCCTTGAGGGCGAAATCCACACCATCCACTTGCGAGTCCTCGACAGGTAACCCACATACGGAGAGCCGGTCCATCCAGCTGGAAACCCCCCCGTCTTGTTTGCTCCTGTATCTGAAAGCGGCCCATAGGACAGACGATGTGGAAAACACTGGGTTTTAGAGTAAGCTCTAGGGCAAGGGCCATGTTTTGCTTACTGCTGTATACTCAGTTCCTATACAGTAATAAAGCACTCCTACTTCATGTTCAAAAATATTTGAATGAAGGAATAAAAGAATTGTTGATCGGTGATAGTAGTGCTTCAGGTACAATGTTGATGGTGTCAGAGTGGACCCCAAAGCTGAGGGGTGATGAATGGACACCGTCTCCTCATTAGGGCCCTTGCACTTATACCTCTTCCCCTTTCTCCTCCGTGACTGGCCTTTTACCTTTGTCCAACTCTATAAAACCTCACTAGGCAGCAGTTCATATATAGAAGCTGCCTCAGGTGCTAGATGAGAGATGCTTCAAGCAAAACATCTTCACATTAGCGATAGTGATTACCCTCAATGGTGATAATTTGGGGGACACTCAGCTTTAGTAATCGGGCCTCCATGGGGGGGTTTTGCTATGTCAAGTGTTTTATGTTACCACAGACTGTCTCTGGAACTGTGGTTTTATCTTCTTTATGCCCATAACTATGGGGAAAATCCTGGGCAAATTTTCCATCCTAGGACTAGTTACGGAGCTCTGCCTGAAACTCCTGGTATTGGGAATAGGACCACCTTTCCAAACTGGGGTGTGGGTCAAGGAACTAGTAACGGGGGTTATGGTGTGGAAAGGGCCCAGAAGTCAGAGAAGGGGGATATTCATTATCATTGATAAATGCCCAGTTCTGTTTTGAGACACTTGGTGAGCTATGTCATCCTTAGCAATCAGGAAATGGTACCCAGAGCTATCTAGGGTAGACTGAGACAGGCTAAAAGAAAGGCCAGCAACTTTTTTGGCTTAGATGCCGCCAGCGTGTCTGACACAGTATCCATGAAAGCCCTGATAAGCCAAGATGATTATCAGAGAAGCAGAAGGAAGGGCGGAGGAGTTACACACTATGCTTGGTGATTGGGAAGGCTGGTGGTTTACAGATTCTCAGGACTCTTAAATCCCAACCCACAGCCACATGACTGTGAAGGTGGATTTGCTCTGACTTGTGTTTTCCTTCCAAAACCAGGTGTGGATCAATCAGTGGTGACCGCAGGTCCAGTAGCAGCTTCTGACAGTTCCCCTCAGGTGGTTAGACCCAAGGAAAAGGCCCTCAACTCCACCACTCCCCACAGACTCCAGCAGGAGCTGTCTTCCTCAGATTGTACCGGCTCCCGACTGAGGAATGTCAAGGTCCAGGCAGCCTTGCTACCCCTGAGAGAAGCAGCCAGATGTGATCAGCAGGCTGGGCCCTGTGTAGACAGAAGCACCCAAACTAAGAAGCCTGGGAAAAGTGGGCAGACGAGGCATCGAGCCCAGCACCCTGCACCCAGCACCACCTGTGGGCAGCTGCCACCAGCAACAGGCAGCGAGCAGACTGCCCCTCATGTTCGAGACACCTCCCAAGCTCTGGAGATTACCCAGTATTTTTTTGAGGCTGTTGCTACCCAGATGGAAAAGTGGTATGAAAGGAAGATTGAAGAAGCACGAAGCCAAGCCAGTCAGAAAGCCCAGCAAGACAAGGCCACGCTGAAGGAACATATTAAAAGTTTAGAAGAGGAACTTGCTAAACTAAGGACTAAGGTGCAGAAGGAAAATTAGGACCTGGGAAGTGGCACAGAAAGGATTCTTGAGGATTTCTAGTTTTGCACCTGCAGGATAGCTGTGCCCAAGGTGTCAATTACTGAGCACGTAGCAGACTTGCCTTTAAAAAAAAAAAAAATCACTAATTTCTTAAATGTGCCAGACCCACGTTTCCTATGCCCTGAAGTTATGAAGACTTTTAACAATTAAACTGAAACCAGGGGAAGCTTGCTTAGTTTCAGGTTTCATTACAAACTCAAAACCTCAGTCCAGGTTCATCTGAAGTTCAAAAGCTCAGATTAAGCGAGCCACTAAGAAACTAAACGATGTGTAAGCCTAAACCCTAAAATTCAGGATGTACAAAATAATATAAATCAAAAGCAAGAAAATAAGTTAATCCCTTGTGAACTTAAATGAAGTAGTCATTCATATAAACACCTGCTGTGCCTAGACAAGAGCATCTTTCTGTAAGCTGTAACTGAGATGCACTAAACCCTCTCTCAAATGCATAATTCTTAAAATGCTGACATTCTAAACAGGTGAAAACTTATCAGATTTTGAGGAGAAAGATTTCCATGATGTCACAAGATCCAGTATATCCTAAAAAATGTTTTGAAAAGTCAGAGTGTATTTAAATAATGAGTAATTGGCTAATGGCACTGGGAATGTTGATTAATAATGAACTCAAATGAGAAAGGTTCAAATCATTTGATTATAGTTTCTGTATTTTCAGCCAAAATATAGAAATACTATAATAGATTAATCCTAGTGATTTTAAAGCAGATTAATGGGAAAAGAAATTCATGTAACAATTATCTGAAACTTCTATAACCTATTCATAAACAAACCCAATTATCTTAGAGTACCTTTCTGAATTTGAGCTTATTGATCTGCATTTTATAAAGAAATGAGGCTAGTTCTTAAAAGTATTACATTTTTAATTGAGTTCTGTCATTGAAGAACCTCAAAAGCTTTCCACTGCAAAGCAGTGACTACATCAAGGTGAATAATTCAATAACTCGATTGAGACCCCACCATTCCCCCAGCTTCATGGAGCCCGAAGGATTTCACTGTTATATGGAATATACAAAATTGTAAAGATAAATTGGGTGTGTTGAAATTTTTAGTTTAATTATCTTCCAAACTTCCTTTCCCTTGGAATGTGGGATTATACTGATCTCCTCAAAATTCCATGTATGCATAGAAACCTCAGTTCTATTTCTATAAACATAGGAACTGAGGAACTGTTGTCTGTAGTTTTGAATAAAATGTTTCTCAATGAGCTAAAGAAAAAAGAAGCTTGACATGGAAACACCCAGAAAAAGTGTGCTTTTTAGTGCCTTTGTGTTTTGCCTACCAAGCTCACAGCTGGTTTCATTTTTCTTAATAGTGACAATCTATGGATATTAGACATAATAAACGTAGATGTATGTCAGCATTATAACAGAACGTGGATAGGGAATTAATTTGATGCCCTCTCAAGCTTCTTTTCATGTTTGGAAGCTTGTCTTGTCCCTCAGCTCCTACGTAGGTAGACGGTTCTTCCCCAGGTTCTTTGGATTGCTAACTGTAGAGGCACTTGCTTCTTTTCATTTTCCTATGTGTTTCTAATGCAGAATCACAGAATTGTAGAGCGAGGTGGTACCTTCAGTCCAGAGTGCTCTGGTAGGAAGTATTTTGATTGTGTAATTCCTGCCCACCAGAAGCAGGCAGCTTATTATTGTGAACTGGATATTTTTGTCAAAGTCACAGGGAAGAGACTAGGGAGGAATGGGCAAGGTCAGATGTGCCTGGTTTGCACATTGCATGAATCTTGTCTCTCTCTCTCTCTCTCTCCCCCCAGCTCCCCCCCACCCCCCCTCTCTCTTTCCTCTCTGGAAAACCTATAATAGGCAAGATAATAGAACAGAGTCAGTCAGCCTCTGAATCCAAAGAGATGGCAACATCTTAAGGCCAATGTAACAGCTTTTTTAAAACTGTGTTTGGTCTGTTTTTGTTCCTTATTGTCAAAAACTCAACTATGGGTCTGATGTGTATTTTTCCTTATTTTTCCCTTGTGCTATTTGCTAAAATGAGCAAATGCCACAATAGTACTTTTCCAAATCAGAACTATTAACAATTTATAGCCTGTCATGTAGGTTGTATTTCAAACTTAGGCTGGAACTTTTAATAGCAGTGGGGAAAATGATGTAAAATACATAAAAGTTGTACAATATTGCAATGTTTTTAAAAATTGTTATTGCATTATTGCATTGAGCATAGTAAATATCTGTGATAGATTGAATATTAGTTCTAATATTACTTTTGACTTTGGGAGCCCAAAATAAAGGAAGTGATGTTTTCATGTTTATACCTTCCTTTTTTTTCATTCAAGCGTTGATACTTGAGAGGTATGTTGTGTATTGAATATTTTTATCATCTTGAATTTGTACCTCTTCCAAGCATTAGACATGGTTGTCAAGACTATAGATATGAAATTCCTTATTTAAAACATGAAATTGTTGAGTACTTTGTTTAGCCTACATTTTCATTTGTGTGGCTGACCTAAATTTTATGGCTCCTGAAAGAGTGCCTTCGCCCAGCCACGCACTTTACCATGTTTCCATAAAAGTGCAATTTAAATACATCTCTTTTAAAGAAGAGATCAGGTGAACTGCATGAAAAAATTAAAAAAAAAAAAAGCCTGCTATCACATGGAAAGATTTTCCGTACATGCTTAAACAAATGTTTTGCTTAAGTTCTTGACCTTTTGGAGGAGGATAAAACATTACTTGTACTTGTATGCAAGCAGATAACATTTTTTGACAAATTGTTCCTAAAAGCTAAATAGATTTCTTCTTGTGACATAGAAGCCAATCAATTAAGACTTATAAGACAAACCAGTTTAAAAAAAACTAATGACCTTTTAGAATACATTTTATAAGAAAAATGATTAAAATATATTTTTTAAAATTTTATTTAAGGGGAAATATTCTTGTAATAAGTCAAATATTGTGACTATAAATGTGAATATATTAATTTAAATCCAAGAGACACAAAAGCAAGACACAGTATATGTATCTATATAGATATATATATAGATATATATATAACAAAATACTTTTAAAAATACAAAAGAGTGGGTAAAAAGTGATTTACTCTTCTTAGTAAACAAATAATTTAATCCTAATATAATTTCTCAAACACCTGACTCAAGGAAGAAAACAGCTTATGGCAATTTCTAGTTTGCCAGAGTGACAATTTGCTTTTGATCCTGTTTGGGCCTTATTCTGCATAATCCCAATTTTTTTCAAGGTAGATGTGAGCTGCTTCCTTTTTTTTCCTAGCATTTTCCTTACTCCATAAAAGAGCTAATTTCGGTAAGTGTGGGTCTCTGCCTCTCAGCCTCTCCTGAGTATCTGCTGGTAGGACTACAGTAATACATGGACCAGGAAATTTTTCTCAAATATTAGAAAGTCATCTGTCTCTGCAGGCACATTTACAGCAACGCCTGTGCCATGAACTTAAAACACAACACACTTAAAAGGGGGAAATGACACAGGGGCAGTCATATGTTAAATAATAAATAGCCTTAGCTACTTCTCATGCTAGAAAGCTTTTCTATTAAAAAAAATTAATATAAAAAGATTGATTTGTTGTTAGTTCAAATACATAAACTCAACCTTGAAACATCTTAAAATTAAACTTTAGGAACACAACTTTCACACTCAAACAAAAGTACAGTTTACGAGGAACACTCAGGAAAGTAATATGTTGTCTAATCCAGAATATTGATAAAGATGATGAATAAAATGTGTTTCACCAGCAGTTCTATTATGGCCAGCATCTTAGTTAATGACCATGGCTCCTTATGTGAGAAGAAATGGCTAAATAAATCTTCTTAGGCTAAAAAGACTTGGCCCATAATTCAGAGGGGATAAACGGAGCACATAAGTGAACAAATTAAACTGTTTTTTAGAGACCATGGCAATGTAAGTCATTGACACGTCACCATCAGCTTACGCCTCTCCTTTGGCACACAGTCCAATACTAGATACCATTTTTCATTCTGTAAAATTTTAGCTACATCTTTCAGGTCAGATTCTTGGATTAGCTTTAGATCTGTTCTGTAAATGACCAGAGGACTTAAAGTGTGCAGGACTGCCAATCCCAGCCACTTACCACAGGCTTTCCCTTTCACTAAATTGTTATATATTTGGTCTTTTTCAAAAGTGTCTTGAAATCAACTTCTGTCTCTGATTATTCTTCAAAGTCTTTGTTTTTTCCTTGGGAGGAGGACTTACTGCACTGAGGATCTTCCCTGGTGATTTATTTTACTTCTTCTATTACACATGGATGTTAAGATGATCGCATTAGTTTCATCCAGAAGTTGCCTAAAAAAGAAGTTACCTCTTCTTTTGTAAATGTTTCAATGTGTTCATTAAGCTTCTTTCTGTTTCCAATAAAGATTTAGAGTCCCAGTGGTGATCTTTGTGGAGAGTCCTCTGAGTATCACATCATGACACATCTGAAGAACATACCTCAACAATCCTGAGTGGTAATGCAGAAGAATTTTTCAAGAAAGTTCCAGGGAGTCTCCTGAGGTCAGTACACCTCCAATCTTACATCACATACTCTTTTTCAAAACAGCTTTATTGACTTATACAATGTTATATGCCAATTATATCTCAATTTAAAAAAATCAGAAGAACCCAGCTTTATTGTGTTATAATTCACATATGATACATGTAAAGAGTATATTTAAATGGATTTTAGTATATCCAAAATCTAACTTCAGAATAGTTTCAGCACCCCATATCTATTAAGTTACTCTCCATTCTGTTCACAGCCCTAGGCAAACACTAATATTTCTGCCTATTCTGTACATTCCCTATAAATGGAAGCATACAATATGTGATCTTCTGTAATTGGCATCTTTCACTTAATGTTTTCAAGGTTCATCCATGTGCAGCATGTATCAGTACTTCACTCCTTCGTATTGCTGAATAATGTTTTATTGTATGAATATACCACAGTTATTATTTATCCATTTATCAGCTGGTGGACATTTGGATTGTTTCTACTTTTTGTCTATTATGAAATGCTATGACCATTTGTGTACAAGTTTTTGTAGAAGTATGTTTTTGGTTTGTTTGGTTATAAATCTAGGAGTAGAATTGCTGCATCAGGTAACTTAGGTTTAACCTTTTGAGCAACTCACAGTCTTGTTTTCCAAAATGGCTGCACTATTTTTTTTCCCACCAGCAGGGTATGAGGGTTCCAATTTCTCCACATCTTCACTAATATTTGTTATCTCCTTGTTTAATTATAGCCACTCGAGTGGATGTATAGTATCTTATTGTGGTTTTGATTTGCACTTCCCTGATGGATAATGGTGTTGAATATCTTTTTCTGTGCTAATTGACCATTTGTTATACTGGTTTTGCTTCTCACAAAAACTGTTGACGAATCCAGAAACATTTTCAAAACACAGGATATGTTTTTCAGTGCTAAGGCGATCGTACTGATGTGCTTCTCTGTTGCTCTCTGTGACATGCCATGCTATGTGTTCTGATATTTTGCCTGAGTACTGTACATACGAACAGTTTGACTTGGCTTTGGGCTGCTCATCATTGAGCCTAAGCTGAACAAAACACATGGAGACTGAAAATCTTTCAGAACAATGCTATAGTTAAGATTTTGCCAAAGCAAGTGTTTTCTGTAACTCCTTAAGCTGTATATTGCCTTGTGTGATCATCATCCGGATTGTATCCTGTAAAAGAAAGTGAAATCTGGTCACTGTTTTACCTGGTTAAACAAAGTGCAGCCCTACCATTTTATATGGTAAAGTCAAGAAGCAATACTGAGCATTGGAACTGCTACATATTAGGAAAGCCAAAAGCTAACAATTAGGGGTGCACATTGTCTGGCACGCTTTCATAGACCCCAGTCATACTTCCCAAACCATCATGCTGTAATATTTAAAATCTTTTGTGTGTGTGTGTGTGGTGTGATAGAAAAATCAGGTGATGCAGTGTAGAGTGTCGCTATAGCAAAGATTGTAAAATTTAAAATATCATTTAAAAAAGTGAAAAATCAGTAACATTAAGAGCAATGATCAAGATATACCATTTCAGTGAAATTTATATTCCAAGATGTGTACTAAACATTTTTAAAATTTCACTAATCACTGCAAAACGACCAGGGCCTGTCTTCACCATAATCTGTTCTCACCTCTTCTGTGGCATTTTTGTTTCTTTTGAATTCTTCCCTTGCCCAGTCCTTCAGGTATTTGCGATCAGGATCATTTGGAACTTGCCGAATCGCTTGTAAAATCCTTCTGTAGAGGAGGAGGACTTGTTGCCTTCTCAAGAACTGTACAGAGGAGGAGAAATAGCATTTACAACTGTACAATCCCTGGAGGGCTCTACTTTAGCAAAACTGTAACCAGATTTCTCTTTGGTCCTCAATTTGAAAAGGGCAAAGAAAAGCACTTTTTTGTTTTTTCTTTTAAGAAAACATTTATTTGGGTTGTTTGCTTACTACTATCAAACAAGAGCTTACTGGGCAGAAAAAGGACTACCAGACTCCTAGAAACTGTAGCCACAGTAACAGCACTTTTTCTAAATTAACACAGTGGTTAAAAATTCCCTGGTAACCTCATTTGCTCTTTACCATAGCCCAGTACAACAGGCAGAGCAGTTTTTACCGTGGAGATTGGACAGCTGAGGCATTAGCGTTCCAAGAGCTTAGGAGCGAGGCATGCCTCTTGTGTCCGCAACTGGAAGACAGGATTCTGCCTGCCCCCGCCGTTCCACCACCCTCGTCCGCCTTCCAGTCGACCCCACGGCAGGAAGCAAGCCCCACCCCCTTCGGCCCAGGCCAATCACAGCAGGAGCGCGCGCAGGGCACCCGCCCCCATTGCTCCCCAGACGCACTCCGTAGATTGGGTGTAGGGAGAGATGGAGAATTGAGTTCACACTCAGGCGAGCTGTCCTAGAAGGCCCGCGAGAAAAGCTGGTACCTGCTTTAGCGTTAGCGTCGCTGGGGGTAAGCGAGAAGTGGCCATGTCCTCCAGACAGCTTGGTTCACTAGAGCCACAGCGCGCAGGAGCGGAAGTGAGGCGTGGCGGGGGCGGGGCGAACTCAGTTTCCTGGGAGATAGCCTGTGGGTTGTGCGTCGGCCTGGAGAGCCAGGCTGTCAGTCGGAATTGAAGCCCAAGGGTTTGGAACCACTTGCAAGCTGTGTAGCCTTGGGCAGTGTCACTTGTCTTAGCCTAAGTTTTCTCATGTGTAAAACGGGATAACGGTTCTTGTGTCATAGGTTGTGATAATGTAGAAGTGGTAAAGCACTTAGCACGGTTCCTGGCACGTGGTCAGTTTCATTAAATGGAAGGGTTTTTTTTGGAGGTGTGGGGGGGATTATTTTAGTGTATTCCTTGTGAGCTTTTAAAGTGTGTATTGTTATCAATACTGGAAGTTTAAAATTATAGTATTTAAAATTTGCTTGCAGCTCGTTTGTCTTTTTTTTTTCACCCTGCTTGCTCTTTATTGCAATTATTTCCCCCGCGGTGGTAGACTTCATGATCCTCATTAGTGACGAGGCTTCAAATGGCTGCCCCATTGCGGCTTTAAGAATGTTGTATTACTAGTAACAAGGAACTGAACAGCTGTACGCCTTAAGATTTTATTCTCATAATTATTTTGTCCTCCCCACAAAATACACAAGCCCTTAGTTATATAAGTGGGGTTAGTGAAATCTTTGCTGTATTACTTTTGCAAACAGGATTGTTTCAAATTAAAATACGGCCAAAAATGTTCAATTACCCGTTTACTTGATGAACACTTACAAAATGTTCTTTCAATTACTGGTTGCTTTTATTTTTGGAATGTTTGGTGCTCCCTTTCCTAGTTGTTCTGGCTACTTACCCTTTCCTGGTGTGTTTCCTCATCTGGAAATGAGAGGCTGGCATCTACCTCAGTTGCTGTGTGTATGTAATGCACATAGAAGCGCTCTAATGATGAGCTTTTTGGAACATTACCAGGCTTAACCCCTTGAGCACTTTTGAAAATTTGTCTAATTAGCAATAGCAATTCATTGCTGATCTTTTTAAATATTAGTGAAGTTAAACATCCTTTGCCACTTTTAGTTACACGTGTTTTGTGAATTGTCCTGACTTTGGTTCATTAATGCTGGTCAAGACTTTCATCCTAATTTTATCCAGCCTGTTTGACAATTTTTTATTTTAGCCCTTTGTATAGTTTAAAGTCTCTCTCTACACAATAACATATATTTTTTTAAAGGTTTTTCAATTTAATTTTCTCTTCAGAGCTTTGACTTCTTTTTTCTTTCATTATTTAAAATATTTACTCCATCTAGAAGTTAATTTATGGCATGATATGGATGTAAGTTTTCTAGCTGCTATACTATAACTTCCTGGATTTTGTGATGCCCATATGGTAAATTTTTAGGGTTTGAATATTCTGTTCAGGATTATTTCATCTGGGACTACTGTCATGTTGTTTTAAAATTTTGTTACAATTTATTATCAGGCAGGAATACTCCCCTGTAGTTTCTTGTAAGAATCTTCTATTATTAATGTATGATCTTTAGAAATGTTTTGTATCATTTCCCTCTAAATCGTCTTAGTCTCTATTAAAATTATGATAGTGTTGTATCTAAATTAGTATGTGAGAAGACATTTTAAAACTATTCTTCTCATCCAGAAACTTTCAGTTATGTTTGATAGTGGCAATACTGTCACGAGTCTTACGCACTCTGTCCTTAGCCTCACGTTTTGGGCAGGAAGACCGGTAAGTCCAGTGTAGTGTGTTACCGGTGACGTCAAGGTTCATACCATGGGGGCTTCTTCTTCCTGGATGTCTTGTCAGAAAGGCAAAGTAGGTAAGAGAATCCCAGAAAAATGCATGGAACACGGGCAGATCCTAGGACCTCTGTGGTTTGCTGTGACCGGATCACAGTGTGGTGGGGATGCACGGAAAGAAGGGACAGCAGAGTCAGGTCACACTAAGCAGCACTGAATAGTACTGTCTAAACCAGAGGGACTTGTGAAGGAACTTTTGAAAGGTTTCCTTGGATGTTGTAAGATGAAGTGAAGCTAGCAGTGATTAGCCTGGAATACCACATAAGTACTCCAGATTACAGATTTAAAACAATTCCAGCTGCAGTGCAGTCAGAGGAAAGCACAGGGGAAGACAGGATAAGATAGATGTCCAGAAGTTAGAGCAGAAAAAGACTGGAGTTTGGATGAAGACAGAGGAAAGTAAAGCAGATGTAAAGGCCGAGCAGCAGGTATGAGTATGAGAGAGAGCAAGCACATCCTCGGCACCTTCTAAGTGACTCATGCTCCTTATCCTGGGCCAGAGTCTACCTGACCCCCACCCCATCGGTTCCTGATAGGTCTCCTGAGACTGTTCACATGCTTAACTCTTTCCCCTGCCACAGCACAAGCTGAAAATGGCACTGTTGGGTAGGCTTACTGGAATTCCTACTGTCCCAGAGCTTATGAGCTAGTCTAGGGCCAAGGGAATCACTATTTTAGCACACCAGCTGGGATGCTTCTGTTTAGATGATCCTGTCAATTAAAGGCAGATACGATAAACTACATCACCCTCATAATGCTGGTGTCTTTTCCTGCCAGATCCAACTCTGCTGGAAGAGTTCAGCTTCCTGCCCCATAAAGGCTCCTGGCCAATGAAATCTTGAGTGCAAGAGATGTGTCATTTTAGAGTGGAATCTGTGTGTTTCCAGCAAACTCGCCGTTTTTCTTTGGCCACGAGGCCAGCATGCCACAGCTCACCCACCTGGACATGTCACAGGTAAGAAACAAACCCTTCCTGTAAGTAAGCCACTGATGTGGTGGGGTCATGTCAGCCTAAACTAGTGACTGACCCAGCAGCAAGATCATCCCCCGCACACCTTTTCTACTCCTTGGTTGTATTCCATTAAGAATGGTCACCACTCACATCACTGGTGGTATATTTTTTAATAGTTTTCAGAATATAAGCTGCATAGCTTTTTTAGAATAAAAAATAATGATGATATAAGATCAGGTACATGCTTTCGGACGCTTGGTTAAATAACAAGCAATCTGTGTCTTTGATGACCACCTCAAAAGAGTGGCAAACTTCACAGTGTAACTTGATAACAGATGTGGAGATAGAAATTACATCATGGCATGTTCTCTACAAAAGAACATTCTGACAGTCGGAACTTAAATAGAACACAGCATACAGTTTCAAGTATTCAAATACTGCTTTCTGGCCAAGTCCAATCTGCCTCAAAACCACTGATGTATTTTGAGGGGGGGAAAAAGATATTAGTTGCTTAGTACTTCTGGATAGAGCATGTCTTTCTCCAGAATGAGAGTGGCTCAGACCATCTTGGAAGCAGTGCGAAGAATGATCCTTCCCCTTAACTGTTAAAAAAAAAAATGAACTAAAAAAATAAATTACTACAACAACAGGTACTATGGCACTGAGAAAATGAAATAAACAAAGGAAAAGTCCTCTTTCCATCATTGCATAGTCTCCGGAAGCAGCAAATGTGAGGGACACTGAAAAGCCAGTTCATTCTTACACAGCCTAAGGATTATGTTTCTGTTTGAGTTCCTGTGCTGTCTGGTTGCTTTATGAGCACACATACAACAAGCTTCCTACCCTTGAGAAGGTAGTTCCTTTCACATGAAGCACGGTAAGAAAACACATAGTCAGATTCTGAAAACTGCAGCTGTCTCAGCCACTTGACAGTTTTTGGGTCCACACTGTGGGCTTGGCAAGGGCGAACCTTAGAGAGGGATCAAAAGGGCCTCTTCCTTCAGGCCTTTACTGAAAGGACTGGCACAGTCCCGTGCTCCTGACAGCGTTTCCTCAAGGCAGATGTCCAGGGTCCCTGCGAGGGAAAGCAGGCAGCTGGGCCCCACGGGTGGGGTTGGCCTACTCTCAGGCCAGGGCTTCCAAGCAGCTCTGCCCCAGGTTTGTTACAAGAACGGTAGCCTAGGCAAAGCAAGAAATCCGAGAGCTTTCTCTGTGCTCTGAAATCAAGTAAAATAAAATGTACATAGCAGTAAAATGTTTTGTAGCTGTTGGGTAAATTTTTATAAATCAGGTCTAAGAAAATTTAGAGCTGCGAGCTCAGAAATAGTTGTCCAGAACGGAACACCTGGGCAAGAAGTGTGACATCTTGATGGTAGTTTAAACTCTCAACTTTGGACTCTGTTGTTTCTGGTCTACAGGTGGTCCGAGGCTGTCACCAGCTCAAACCACTGCCTGAGAGCATCGCTGAGCGTCTCAGGGAGCGCATTCATATCACGAAGAATTATATAGAAAGGGAATGGGAACTCTTCCATGTAGGATCGGATTTCAGGCATCTCTCCAGGTCCTTTAAATATTGGTACTTTAATGTCCAAGATAGAATCCTGTGAAGAGAAAACATTTTGAAATAAAAGCTACATCAGTGTCCTGGCTAGCGCTTCCATGATTTCTTTTCCTGACATTTTTCAGATCTCCTGTGTCTATTCATGCACATTAAAGTAGCCTGTATTACTAAGTAAAGCAATTTTCAGAACTCTCATTGAGGAAGAAACAGATCTTTCTAAGCACTCTTTGCAGGAAAACAGGCACCAAAAGTGAGGGAAAGGGGTATAATAAAACCTGATTTCCCTGCAGTAATTTCCCTGCAATAGTATCTCGCATTCTCAACTTGGAATGATTCACATTAAATCTTCAACTTGCTATGTGGGCCTTAAGAGGTCCTGTGGAGATGGTGCTTCTCGTAGAACAGAACTGCCCTGTGGGCATCTTTCACTTGGCTACTGGTGCTTCCTGCTGAGGAGGGCACTGCTGATACAAATAGCTGGAAAGGGCTTGTCTACATCTCTAAATGCACAGGGCCCATTACCAAGAGCTGGCAAAGGAAGTGGTTAAGAGGATGGCCTCTGGAGTCAGTCTGAATCCTGGCTTTCCTACTCATTACTTACAATCTGTGTTTCTGTCCTTCACTGTAAAATGGGAATAATGCCCAGCTCACTGGGTTATTGCAAAGTTAAATGAGAAAATAGTTATAAAGTGCATAAAACAGTGCCTGACAGAACACAGTGTTAGCTTTGAGTATGATGGTATGACCCAGGCCATATTTCCGATAGAAAAGGTTGAAAAGCATCCCCACTTTATCCTCAGAAAAGTGGCTTTCCGTCATCACTCACCCGTGAACTGGGATTATCCAACACAACAAAAATGACAAAGATGTTAGCATTCTGGGCGGCCTGAACTGCTGCCAGGACTCTGTCTTTACCCTCGAGGAAAAGGCCGCGTCCATCAGAGACCACTAGGAGGAGTTGCGCTGTGTCTGTAGACCATAAGCAGGAGAGGAAGGAAACAAAATGGAAATCCATTTTGAAGAATAACTCAAAACTACCTAAAGTAAGACAAATTAGTGTAGGCTTTCTCTGTACTATATTAACACCAAACAGATCTCTGAAACCAATGAATTATGGGGACAAGTGAAAGGGGCCTCTAATTAGATCTATTTACTTTGGATGCCTGACTCAGCGACAAGGACACACACACACACACACACACACACACACACACACACA